CCCAAAAAAAAAAAAAGAAAAAAAAGGGGGCTGTGTGGAGTGTCTGATGCGGTGGCGAGTTGTTGGTATGCGGATGTGCTTTGTAATCAGATCTTTTTACGCACCCCCACCACAACAGTTTGATTGCCGCACATCGTCCAGCTTTCTATCAGAGTCAAAAAAAAAAAAAGAAAAAAAAAAAAATTCGCAGTTGAACAATGCTCTGCTTCTCTTCTCTATGCCATATTAATCGAAAGAAATTCTGTGGCTCTTTTTTTTTAATCGAATCTGTGGTGCTCTCGGCTACCAGCCGGGCCACCCTGACCACCTTGGGCTGCGCGGGTGGCCGGGCTGGGCAAGGTCTGGGCGACATATCGGAGAAGGTTCCCCCCGAAAATATTCGTAAAATGATGTTAAAAAATCCAAAGAAGTTTCGAAAAAGCTATATGTTATGCAGGATCATAAATCAAACAACTTTTGTCTGACGGCCACTCTGAAGTTCTTTACCAAAAAAGCTGAGATCATATGGGTCCAGGGCCTCTAGGCTGCTCTGGCCCCGCGCAGCCCAGCCGGGCAAGTGGTCGAGGCCCACTCTGGTACCTTAGGTGAATCTTTTTTTTTTTTTTTTTTTTTTCTTCTAATGTCTAAGTGCTTTGCAAGGAGACTCTCACTCATGCATCATCCATATAACCATGTGAGGGTGCAGATATGGGGATCACACCAAACGCATGAAATCAAGTTTGCTGCCGCCTCCAACAAAACCGTTGCACATTTCTAAATGCAATTTCAAAGCTGCAAATGCCAGGTGCTGCACAAGGGCAAGGGCAAACGGACAGCAGGTGTTGCACACCCATCATGGAAGTGCAGATGAAAGAGCACCTGGCATTTGCAGCTTTGAAATTGCAAATGGTGGGTCAGCTTGACAGCTATGGTGGGTCAGTCCGACAGTCTCACGCACTTGTAGATTCGATGTAACAGGTCAGCAGCATACATGCAAGTGGACGCCGTGTGGGAAATTCTGCACGTTTGGCGCACAGGGGAAATATTCACTGAAAAAAAGAAAGGGGTCGCATGGCTGGGTAATGCCGCTACCTGAAGGTCAAGACTGATGTCCCAGACACCTTTCTGAGGCTATTTCTCGTGCCCAGTTGAACGGAAAGAAAAATCTGTACGACTGTACTTGAAAAAGATCCGTTCCTTACTAGGTGTTGCGCTCTTCTGTATCTACGAAAACAGCAAAAAAAAAACAAAAAGAAGGGAAACTGCTGTTGGTACGGCGCACGACAAGGTGCCGCACCGCACGCACGGTGCAGTTGCAAGTATGGTAAAAAAGAGACTCAAGACGACTTGTGTTCTTGCAAGTTCAAGGCGAAATTTCATTTTCAAATTTCAATGGAACTTCGCACAATGCAAACCCTGTCTATCGCTGCTACAAAGATGCAGATCAGAGTTCATCGCAGTCTTTTTGTGCTACGAGCTCTAGTACAATCAGCGTGTCTCGTTCTCTTTTCTACACAGGATCTCTCCCTGAACATCGGAGTGCTCCTACTCGGTGAGTCACTCTCCAACAAGCAAAAGCTCTGTCCTACAAGCGCCCAGCACAACAGCGCGCGATTCCACGCCGAAAGGAATAGAAAACAATAGCTACCAGATGCTACTTCTAGTATTTTACAAGAAGACTTGCAGAATTTTGTGCATCGAGGTTCAATGGAGTCTAATTCTGATGTAATCTGAGCAGATGTAAATCACTACAGAGTAAATGAACTCCAAGCTGCATAGAAAAATTCATCACTAAATATGGGCGAACGACGGGGATTGAACCCGCGTATCGTGAAGCCACAATCCACTGCCTTCCAGATGCCAACACGATTGCCCTACCACTTCAGCTATGGCTATCTTCTTCACCACACAGCGCACTGCTCGACTTCACAAACCATCTGAATGAACCCTCAAGAACGAACTCTGTAGTTTTGCTTCCCGGGGGCGCTTCCCCCGCTGCCCTCGGAACCCTCTAGACACTTGCTGGAGGCGCACTTAAGGCAAGAATGGTACCAAGCATCGACTTTACGCACATACAAGAACAGGTCGCGGGTTCAAGCCCCCACAGGCACACAGTCAACGCTCACACTACAGTACATCAACAGGTAAGTACACAGGTAAGTCGACGTTAAGGTTTAGGGTTCGAACTTCAGCAGCAACACTCAGGCATACGATACAGCATAGCAAGCAATGACGTCGACAACAGACCCTGGGATCGAGTCACAGCAGGCCAGGGAGGTGAAATCCCCTTTCAGCCACAAAGGGTGTGGTCTACAAGTTCAGCCTTTTCATGTCGTTCTTCATATGGGTGTTAAATATGCAGTTTTGACTCTTGAGCTTTTTGTTGAGCTTTTTGTTGACCTTTTTTTTTTTTGCGGTCTTCTTGTGCAAATCTGATTTTTTTGTGAACAGGGTGTCAAAGGGATCACTGATATGATAACGGTATGTGGGACCTCGTGAGGCTTCGTGACAATTACGTTGTTGATTTCTACGTGAACACTGAACAGGGAGTCGCAAAGTATTGCTCGCATGAAGATGGCAACCTTGGTTGTGGAAAATATTCATGCAGTGTGTGTTTGCTGTGTTTGACTCATTTTGCGTCATGCATCTCGCGTTTGAATGCTCTCTCTCTCTCTCTCTCAACCTGTGGTTGACTGTTGCTGTTGCTATATTCTTCTTTTTCTTTCCTGTCTTTTCTGTGTTTTTCACTGTTTGATGTCACAGATGTGCCTGTGTTGCTGTTTTTGTGACTGCTTTTTTCCATATATGATGTTCATTTGCCACGACTTCACCCGTGACACAGCACGGGTGTACTGGGGGG